CATATTTTACTGTTTTATTGATTATGGGTTGAATGACTGAGAAACCGATGCTGTATGTTGTCTTGTTTGGCATAAATTACTGTTTTGCTTGTTTGTGTGTGAATTGATGATGCTGACTGAGGAAAAGGGGAATGAAAGGTTATGTAAACTGATAATTGTATAATGTGATCAGCCTGACTAGATATCCTGGGAGATGGTGGACGGACCCGGTCCGTAAGGAACCCTACCGGGATTGTGGTCTCTCATACCGGACGGGGTATGGAGACCCTATGTGTTTTGGCGCCCATACCGGATGAGGTATGGGGACGGCCCGTTTCACCCTCATACCGGACGGGGTATTGAGGTTTATAGTTTTGGCGCCCATACCGGACGGGGTATGGGGACGGCCCTAGAATCTGATTACAAGTGTTAAGGGTTCACGGGTAGCGGGACCCTTATGGGTCCCCATGGATACTAGTAGGCTGGTAAAAGATGAAAAATATATTGTGTAATGATTGAATTACAGAATGCGTGATAAGTATTATGTTATACAGTTTATATAATTTCATTATGATGATAATGTTATTACTTTCGTATACTGTTTTATGAATTTCACCTAGGTAAGTGGATGGTAAATGTTTTATTATTGATAAAAGGATTTGTTGTAAATTATGCTCCATTGGTTTTTTTGTGTTTTCTACCCACCTTTACCTCCGTGACGGTGAGATATCGTGATGTCCTTACTGGGCTAGTGTAGCTCATTCCTTATTTAATCATTTCAGATCAGGAAGACATTGTTCCCGAGCCCGTTCCGCAGGAAGACGACGAAGGGGACGCCTAAAGACTCCATAGTCATATTCATAGCTTTTACTTTCGAGTTTCTCCTTTAGTTAGTTTGATCTTTTATATTTTGAGCACGTTTTTTGTTTTAGTGTAAAGAATGTTAATCGAGATTTTGACTTCGCTTCCGCATTTGACATTTTTGATACACATATTTCATTTTAAATTTTCGGAGCCGTTATATCTATTGTTTCGTTTTCATATTCAATTTATAATTTTATTTTCTTTCAAGTTTCGAGTTGTCACAAAATAAGATGTAATAACATTTACAACTTATTGCTCTAAATTTTTTGTTGTGAGCTTATAAATAAATTTTATATTATTTGGACTAGAGCAATTTTTTTTTTATAATAAAATTTCTGGTAAGTTTAATATTTCTTTTTTTGGAATGTACCTTCAATATATATATATATATAGAGAGAGAGAGAGAGAGAGAGAGATGAATTTGATAGTTCGTGGATAAGACAAGACAGGCGCAATTAATTGGGATGGTGGAAGTCTTTTTGGCAATTTGTAAATACCTTTCTGTATTTTGCATTATCTATCTCAATAATGCATATAATGACTAAAGGATAGAATGAAGTTGTCTTATTTCTATGTTTCTTCCCTTACGAAAAACAGCAAAAGAAATAAACTCGTCTATGCCCCAACTTTTCTGGGAAATACCGGGAGATTGTTGACTTTCTGAGATTGACATATTATCTAGAACCCGCTTCATAAAAGTGGAAATGGAAGTCAATAGCCCTATGTACTCCTGCTCATAGTTTCAAATAACTAATCCCAAAAGAAAACCTAGTTTAGTATA